GGTTCAGCGGCTGGAAGTATTCCTCAGTGGCAACTAGACGATATTCTCGGGCTAACCGACTTTGACCAGAGCTTCGAGTATATTGACAATAACAGGTTAACCAAAGTAAGTTCCTTTTTCCCGAATGCACCGCTGTATGTATTTGAGTCTGATCTTGTGTTATTTTGCATACGGGTTTACACTTTAGATGCATATAATGGGTTTTCCGAGTATTTGAACTCGGAAAGATTCCGACTTTGTCCTCAGAAACACTCTCTGACCTCGGTACTGATATAACACTCTCGGTTCCTAGAATGCATATCTCTGTTTCGTTTTCTCATAAAAAATCTCTTCTTGCAGGCGGATACCAGCAGAAGAGGAGATTCAGACAGCTCGTCGATGATGAGATCAGCAGCAGCAGAAGAAGAAGAAGACGAAATGGAAGACGAGGAATGTGTAGGAAAAGAGACATACGAGAGTTCTTGGGCCGTGCCGGAGATTCCTTCGCCACCAACGGCGTCAGGGTTGAACTGGCCAAAGAGTTATTACCCGCGTCGTGGACACTCGGATGTAGTGTTTGTTCCCGACATTTCGTCCACATCAAGCGTCCAGACATGTTCGGTTTCGAGTTACCCGAGCAGAAGAGTCGGGAAACGAAGAAGAAGACGGTTCTAAGTTTGGGTTTTGCTTCTGCAACAAATGCAAACCCATGTTTTTGATCCTTGGAAGTAACGGATCCGATACAGTATGTGTGAGATAATGATGTGGGAAATGGTGATGTCACTCTTAGTGTGTAGCGATTATCTTAAAAACAGAGGGCTAAGTTATAGGTTATCATTTCATCCTGATTAGAGAAAACAATGGGGAATTCGGGTTGGGTATCCGGTATTTTTTGGTGTATTTGATTTGATTTCATCTCGTTCAATTTCTCGGTGAAACTATCCGATTTCAGTTTTGCAGGAGTCGGATATCCGAGTTTCAGATACTTGAGCTTGAGGCAAGGATCCGGGTATGGTTTGAGTACCCACGGATTTTCGGGTTATCGAGGAGACGAGGTAGCAACGGGGCGAGAAATGATGAGACAAGGTAAACGACAACTTTCGGTGAGAGGACGAGGTCACAAGAATCAATGATCGACAGCGAGATGAACGACGGAAGCAAGAAGTCGGGTCTCCGTATTCATTCCACCGATAGCGAATATCCGAAATTTCGAGTTCTCGCATCAACCTCTATATTGACCAGCTATTACATGTTCTACCAAAATCTCGAAGTAACAATTTCTTCCTCAAAAGAAAAGGAATCTCACATAAAAGCCGAACTCATTCACAAAATGGCAATGCGTTCAGATTCAGTTCAACTTCGGCTGGTCGGAGCGGCGGACCAAGCAGGAGGGAGACGGTCGGAAACGGGCAGAGGCGGCATATGTCGGATGTTGACGTCGAGAGGGTACAACCGATGGTCGATATCTACTTCTCGGCAAATCTTAGATATCTCTTCAACGAGCTGAGCCCGTCTCGACCACCTCTCTCCCATGTCCTGGTGGTTCATCCGATGCGTTGGCCACACCGCTATCCTCACGCTGTTCAACCCTTCCATGTCTTTGAATATTATCATCGGCGCCCCGTACCATTGATCCTTCTTCCCCTCAATGTAGCTTCCGAATCATAAAACGAAACATGTGATGAATGCGCGATTAAGATTCTCGAGAAATAAGATTGGATTTTGTTTTAGATGCGTACCTCGTTATCCTCTGCTTCATCAAAGCGATCTTATCAGCGGGAGTAGAAATGTGGACGGTGAACTCGATTCCGTCGCCCATATCAGGGCTGCGGTAGTAGTTTCCGATGGATTTAGTCCACAGGAGACTGTTCGGGTAAACGATCTTCTGGTTATCGAACCTCAGGAACACTGTTGTCAATATGTTCATCTCCTCTACCACCATCTGAGGTTTTCGACCAAAAAAAAAACAGAGTTACAAATCCGTTTTCCATTAAGGTATAAGTATAACGACAGAGAGTAGGACTGGACGTGGGTATCCATCTCATGGGTACCCGAACACGGAGAACCCGACCACAGACAAGTACGGAGGTCGGGTCCCTCCCCGACGAAAACCCGAGTAGTAAGGTATAAGTATACCCGAGTTCTTGTCTCACCCCGCGGATATCCAAAGTTCCTCACAAGGTATCCCCGGGAAAACTCGGGTACTCGACCTGTAGAAGAGTAATGTCTTTATAGATTTACCTGAACGCCGTCAATCTCACAGCGATCGCCGACATCAAAGGGATGAATAACGAACAAGAAGATGATGGACTCGAAGACCGTCTTGCACATGTTCCCGAATATGAACGCGACAAGCACTACCTGCGAACTGATCACCACCAGGAATCTGGTCGTAGCAATTCCCAGGATCAGAAGCCAAATCACTGCAATGATGATTCCAACAAGTATGTTCACCATCTTGTGAAGCCTGTTCACCGCCGTTTTCGTGTCGTTTAGGGTCAAGGCCAGTGCCCTTCTTTCTCTAAACGCATTCACCTGCCAAAAAATTTCACAATCTTCACAGATCCAACCATGGCATGTGTCAGTAAACACGTAAATAAAATCAAGCTTCATTCTTTACCACCCAATTCTTCAATGACGATTTACTGATTCTGTTGCTTTCTGATGCTCCTTCGAATAGGCTCAATGTCTTCATCGCTTCATCTTCCGGCATGAATCGCATTATATCCTCCATGTATATGAACCTATAAACACGACGAGACGAAAACTCAGCCAATGCAATGGCTTCGAACACCCGAAAAAGAAGAAGAAAAAAAACGTTACTTTGACCCGGGCTTTGCGACGTTGTGAAAGATCTTTCTTGCAGCGAGTTTCGCCTCTAACTCGCTTCTGATCTGGTTTCCCTTATCATCCTCGAGATTCGAATCTTGTATCTGTTCATCCAGCGTGGTAAGTGCTCCATGCCGGATCATATTCATCAGCCTCTTCATTCTCCATGCCGAAACATTCTTAGGGTTCATCTTGTGCAGGCTGTCAATGGTTATCCCCTTACTGTCACCTTCCGTTGACAGCAGCCGGGATACCAACGGGCTTTTCCCGGTTCTCGGGCTTTTTCCGGTACCCGATGGAGTGTTACCGCCGCTAGGGTTCACGAGTTTCTTTGCCTCGTCTGCAATTCTCTCCTCTTCTTCTGCTTCCTCGTTTTTCTGGAGTTCGATCAATGGAGGACCCGATAAGGCCTCGATGACATACTGAGTGAAGAGAGATTCCTGGATTCTGTCAAAGTAGGTGCTCATGTGGAAAGATGAGGCGAGAACCTTAACCAACAGTGTCTTTACGAGCCATAAGGCGAAACCGACAAGTAGACAGATGAGGACTTTGGTCACGTACTTAACTTTGCTGTTTGTCTCTCTCGCGACTTTCTTGTCGAACAAGAAATGCCAAGCGGTCAGAGCAAGCCCTAACCAGAGACAATTCTGGACCGCCTTTCGGATTCCGTACACAAAGTATAAAACCCTCTTCCGTAACAAGAAGTTCCTCTCGACGAAGAAGACGACGATCCTAACGATCCAACTAGACACCAGTCTACCACAAATCAGCACCAAAACCATCAGTTCCCATTTCCACAGCTCGAGTTTCCACAGTTTCTTGCCACGCAAGAAAGGAAACACTAGAGAACAGACAAGAGCAGCGATGATCAGAATCAAGCTCACCCATTCAAGCAAGATCCAGAAACTCAGATTATCTCTCTTGTACTCTTCTGGAACATCCTCGTCTGAAAATGGGTCTTCTTCCTCTTCTTCTTTTCCCGGTGTTTTTGGGGTTTTCCCGAAGAATCCGGATTTCAACTGACCCGATCTCGGGACTCGACCCGACTTCATCTCCCCCGGATGTTGCGGCGGCAATGGCGGCGTCGGCGGGTCCAGAAGCCGAGACCTCGTCCTCGTCTTCAGCAAATTACTGGAGCTTCTCTGAAACGACGCATTGGAACTACACTTCACGACCTCTCCGTCCTCGTTGGCGGCGCTACCATTACTGTCCCGTCTCTTCACGGCGGCGGAATTGTTGTTCGCCGTCGCCGACGCCGGAGATTCCGACACCGGAGTTAAGCCACGAGGCTGAAGCTCGACCCTGCCCAGATCCATATCAAGTGAAACCTCGCCGGAAGCTTTCTGCTTTTGAAGGAACTGACCGATCAGCTTCGTCGGAGGGTCCTCCGCTCCGCCGTTACCACCTCGCCGGAAATCGAAACCCTCGTCTTGCTCCGCGGCGTCTCTTCCGCCGTCGACCGCCGTATTAGGAGCGTTCCTCGGATTGTCATGCCCATCGGTCCAGAAATCGCAACTGCCGTCTCTCCAGATTCTTCCGACGCTGTCCCCGGCACCGCCATTGTTCCGCTCGTCTTCGCCGTCGATCTTCACGACAAAATCCCGCCGGTCCGCCGAATCAGCGGCCATTACACGAGATACAGAGTGTAACACGATGAAGCCGAAGTGGGTTTGGATCAAAAGGACCAATCTTGGCTGAGGAACACGAAAAAGAAGAGTCTTTTCGCGGTTACAGGGTGTTTGGTAACTGGGAAAGCGGAAAGAGAAAACGTTTCCTTTATGATTTCTCTCTGTGGCATTGATTCTGGTGAGAGATAAGGACAGGAAAATGTGAGACTGCCGCGTGTACCTGAAGAACAAAAAGCACTTTGAAATTTGTAGAAAACAGAGCTTCTTTGTCTTTTTTAAGTTATAATAAGCTTTTGCAATATCCAGAAGAAAACTTGCTCACGGGAGTGGCGGTGTAAAGGAACCAAATAATACTAATTTTAATGAAATCTAAATTTAAAATTCTTAGAAATAATTTTTTGAACTAATGTAAATAAAACAAGCTTAAGAAAGGAATATAATTCAGTAAAATTAAAAGAAATCGAACTAAAATATAAACAGAATTTAATTCATTAAAAAATTATCATCCTTCTCCTGAATAGTAAGTTTGCATAAACTTTGTATTGTCAACTAATAACTTTCTATTTCTTAAATATGTTATGATTCCACACATGCAAGTATATTCAAAGCCTACGCCAAAATGATTTATTTCTTAAAATATGACGTGAATACATAGTTAGTTTAAAACATTTTAAAGATATTATTCTTAAGAAAACTCTGGTGACAAAACTGAAAAATAAAAATAAAAAACTTTTTTGTTTTTTAATTTTAAAAAAAAAGCTGAAATTCTTCTGTCTATTGGGTTATCGGGTGTCGCGGCCTATCCAGTGGCCGCAGCGTAATTATCGGGACCACAGAGTCGTAGAAGTAACGCATCGCATAAATACTATTAGAGTAACACTCCTGTCACCTCTCCGTTTGTCACAGACACAGCCCATCTCGTCAATTTTGTTGTTACCAGATGCAATATTTATATTTTATATATATATATATATATGCACATAAAATATATTAAAAGATTAATCCAGTTCGTATCCCATGTGAGAGAAGGAAATATACTAAGTCAACTTTTCCCTAACTTTTCCCTACATTTTAATGTAGAAAGGTGAATTCGAATCATCAGTCCCTCATCGTTAAACCCAGTCGGCCCTTCATGCATATAAAATATATTACTAGAAAAATAAAAAATAAGATGCATAATCGAGGAATGGATTACTATTATATGACTGAATGCCCTCTTCTATATATTGCTAGACAAATGTGAACAACGTTAGCATTTATAACAGAACATACTAGAACAACAAAATAAAAAAGATTTTTTAAACAAAAAACTTTACCAGATCATAGCAGGTGGGGGAGGGGGGGGGGGGTTACTTGATCCAGTTATGGAGTAAAAATTGTTGCATCGAGATGGCAACAATGCTTCCCAAGCTTATGTTGATCACGTTTACCAGATCATTGTTGAGCTGCAAAATGGAATTTGATCGTTTTAGAAAGAGGGTCTCTCAGTCAAATAGGCACAGCCACAGGAAAGGGAACTGGATTTACTGCTATCATTGTTCTTCACCTGACTAAATTCGGAAGTAAAGGAATCCTAAATTTTCTACTCAATTTGAGAGAATTTTCCTATAAATGTTGGCTAAAGATCACTAGTGCTTCCCCAAAATTTGAGGGACCCGTTTGCTAAAGGGAGATGCATACCCATTTGAATCCCTTTTTATCCTGAAGAGTGGCGCCTATTATGCTCTCCCCAAAATTAGCAATCTGGGAAGCTAGTACGCACACTCCCACCTCTGGAGGAGTTATCTGCATTTTGGAAGACAGTCCCAGAGCATACATATTCATGAGAAAATCTTGATATGATATGATGATATAGACTTATCTGCGGTATAATTAAACAGTAGAACATAGATATAAAGTGGTCTTCATATACTCATAAGAAATCTGCCCTGGTTTAACCTTATCAACACTTCTAGTCAACAACTACCAAGAATCTGCTGTAATAAAATTCTGCAACCATTTGGGCCTTTATTGACCAATTCGAAACCCGGAACTGCAACTACACATGAAATTATGTTCGGTGTTGTCACAAGTTAATGGTCTCTCTGATTTCGTATGAGATTCGCTTTCTTCAGTTCCCTGAATTAGTAATCACTATTTGAAGAATGTGTATTAACTAATCCCTTCACCACCAAAATCAAGTTTCATTTTACCTTTGACTGACATAAGAAACCAAGTGAAGAGAGAAAGAAAAACTCGAAGCAAACAACAAAAACATTACCATGTTCCACAAGTTAGAAACTTTCCAATTAATAACAAATAATGGTAAACATAAACAACCAGCAGTACCTGACCCAGGAAACAACCAATAGAGGCTAGGAGAAGTGATGCAATAAGTCCAGCCAATGTTCCTTCAACACTTACAGCTCCTTCTGTTCCTCTAGGTACAACCTTAAATGTTGTGGCCAAGTACCTGCCAAATAATTGCAAATTTCAACAACGTGGAGAAAATGCAAGCCTATCGTGATTTTACAAGTCCTCTAAACTTTTTAACCTGAAAAGAGTCTCGATCTTAGCTAATTGTTCCATGCAACATGAATCAAGAAACAAGGGTCCAACTGAAGACAGATGTGGAATACTTACGTTGTTTTGCCATAAGCCTTCCCTATCTCGCTGGACACGGTATCAGACACCTTAGTGCAGAAACTGGAGACAAAACCAAGCTGGAGGAGCTGAGAAACGGCGGCACCTCCTACCTGATATATCGACAGAAAAGCACATACACAACCAGCAGCACTTGAACCAATCACACTGCCCGGTCCTCTTCTACCTTTTCTCTTTTCAGCCACACCTTGTGCCTCTTTTTGGGACATTTTAACCTTTGTTGCCGCTGTTCCCTGTGATATTGCAGATTCATCTAAACCAACTTCAGCATCACTGATCAATCACAAATTTCAGTTCGAATCTATGCTCCGCATTGGCTAACATACTATGTGACAATCCAAACAGTTTGGAAGCTACAATTCCATTTTGCATTTCGTTGACAGAGACATCAGTCAGCCCTAGTTATGACCACAGGCCATCTCAGATCTCCTACCGATTATGCAACTGTCCAGTTAAACTCTGAGGTTTATCTGTCCCAGAGACAAGGCTTGAAATAAAAAGTTCATTCATGGAGTGCAGGTGTACTTACAATAACGAAGTACGCGGCGACTAAGAGGAAGCCAGGGGAGCCAAAAGCCCGCCAAGTTAGAGTGCCGAGCAAGAAAGCGGCAGCGATTCCCGATGCGGACAATCCGGTGACGAGGATCGGAGACCCGAGAACAAAGATCAATAAGTTGTTGACCACTGCCGACTTCCATGTCGGAGGCGCCGCTTGGATCAGGTTCATCGCCTCCGTCACTGCCCCCTGCAACGACGAAACCGCTGCCGCAGAACCACCGTCGGCTCTGCTCGCCGGAAACATTCCGTTGGCACCGACGGAAAGAGGTTTGAATTTAGAGCTTCCGAATCTGGAAGAATTGAGAGATTGAGAAGAAGAAGAAACCCCCGTGAATTTCGGGAATCTCAGGGGTAAAATTGGACTAAGATTTATGCGAAGAAGAGTGGACGATATCAACGCCATGATTGTCTACTTGGCTTGCTTCTGAAGATTTTCCTTCTCCAAGAGAAATGACCGTTTCGGGTTGGATCCGGATCCATACAGTTTTCATATTACATTTATGTCCCTTAATATTCAACTTATTTACATATTTTGCCACTATCGACCCGTACCTGTCTATTGTTCGGAGCTCCAGTTCAGATCCGGGTGAAACCCATTTCTGTGACATTCTTTTTTACCCTTAAAATTTGGATTTATTTCTCGATCCTTGCCACCGAAAAACCAATCTTATCCCATTGGTAAAGAACCGAAAAGCTCAGAGCAAGACCAAAGGGTGAGCGAAAATGGCGGTTCTCTGCTCATCTTCTTCACTTGTGTTACCGTCTTCGTCAGTGAAATCCTCCGGAGGCGAGAGAAGGTCTCCGTTTCTGGGCTTTTCCTTGGTGGCTGTTTCGAATCCGTCCGTACGAGTCGGCATTTCTGCGAACAGGAGAAGAGGTTTTCAGGTGAAATGCGAAGTGGAGGAGAAGAGCCGGTCTCTTGTTCCTGCGAACCAGCGATGGATGTTCGAAGAAGACGAAGCAGATGGTCCTGTAAGGATGTTTTCCCCCTTTTCGGACTCCCCTCTTTTTCAAACGCCTACTTATCAGTGCTCATATATTCAAAGTTTCAGAACCTTTTTATGATTAGTACATTATTGTACAGTGTAGTTGTTATCTAGGTGAATGTGAAATCTGGGTCGATTGTTTTGTCATCCCAAACCGGACTCTCTCCTTCAATGGAAAGCGGATTTGATCAAAGTTGCCTGCTTTTGCGTCGTTGTATGTATTGTGTATTGTGTGTGTATGTATATGAGACATTTTTTTATTAGTATGGTATAAGTTGTAGATAATGATCTGGGAACTGTCTGAATTCCGCTGTGAATTTCGTGCATCATGGCTTTGAATTTGCCATGGAGAATGTTCGCTCCTTTATATGTCTAGTTGGAGATTTGGATCTTTTTCAAGGTTTTTAGGACTTTGGCTAGCGGCATGCCTGAAAGCATTGTGTTTTTTGTGTTGAAAGGACATCTGGAACAAGACATGGTATCCAAAAGCCTCAGATCATGTGAATACGGACAAGCCATGGTATGTGGTAGACGCAACAGACAAGATTCTCGGGAGGTTGGCATCTACGATTGCTGTGCAAATCCGTGGGAAGAACCTTGCCTCCTACACTCCCAGTGTTGACATGGGAGCCTTTGTGATTGTGGTATGAGCTTCTCAGTTCATTTTCTCCTATTTGTTCTTTGATACAAAATCTAGATAGTTATATGCTGTTTCCAGGTTCTGAAGGCAGAATATGATTCGCAGTTAATAAGAATGCGTATTCTTGAAATTTGATTTCGTTCCTAGTCATTATGGAGATAAATCGGCCATATGGTGTATCGCTTACGGAGCTTAGCATTTCTTGTGATGAATTTTCATTTCTTTGAACTTCAAAGTAAGCTTGGAATAGAGATCAAAACAATTTCTTCCTCTTTCCTCATCTTCTTTATCAGAAGGTCTAGAATCATGGGAAAGATTAAGGCTTTGTTCTGATGGCCATATTTGAAATTATCTCTAACGAGAGTTTTGTCTTTTTGTTGGTCATTTGATTTGTATAACTAAAGGTGAATGCTGAGAAAATAGCTGTATCTGGAAAGAAGCGGAGCCAAAAGCTATACAGGAGGCATTCGGGGAGACCTGGTGGTATGAAAGTAGAGACATTTAGCCAACTGCAGCAGAGAATTCCGGAAAGAATCATTGAGCATGCAGTGCGTGGAATGCTTCCTAAAGGACGGGTTAGCTTTCCTAGTTCCTTTCGTTTGTTATCTTTTCACGATGAGCTTCTCATATGTACATTTCGGGATGCATACAAGTGGCAAAAAACGGAAAAAGTTCCGACCTTTAACCAATCATTTCAAAATCAACTGAAAGACCTTCGAATGCAGAACATGTTCTGCTGCTCAGCAAAGCTTAAATCTTTGGATAAGTTAGAAATATCAAATGCAGACCCTTTGATCATCTTTATCAATGGAACCGATATGCATGCTTGCATTTTCCGGGTTTGTAGAAAGATTAGTGCTTTTTAGCCCGCTGGCCGGTTACTGGTCAGTGATCATGGCTATTCTGGCCAGCTAAGTGACGTCATAACAATGGCTAACTAACTTGGACTAAACTGGTTCATGGGGGCAGCTGGGGAGAGCTCTGTTCAACCACCTGAAGGTTTACAAAGGCCCGGACCATCCCCACGAGGCGCAGAAGCCAATGGAGCTTCCCATAAGAGACAAGAGAGTACAGAAGCAAAGTTAAGATAAAATGCTCGATTTCTTCTTTTCTCATCATTGTCTTGCTGTAATTTTGATGTAGAGGAAGCACCAGACAAGGAGCATCTCTTTTGTTGTGTTCTGTCATATACTGTTAATGGTTTCTTTATCACGTGGAAATCTGTTCTGTTCTGTTCTGTTTCAGTCAGTTCCCAAAGCTGATGATCTCTGTTCTTGGATCTGTCGTCTCGGTGCTAATTAATGGTATAAATGTTGAGACTTTTTTGCAAGGGATGATTTCAGTAAAACCAGAGTCGGTTTATAATCTCCTTCATTAATTTTCTTCTGAAAATCTCGTATGGTGAAGCTGAATAATTTTCTACTGAAATTTATATTGATTCTCAGATGTAGATTTTATTTGGTTTCCATTCAAAAAAATCTTCGGATTTTTATATTTTTAAAATTTTTAATATTCAATTTAATTGGGTTTATTTAATTTTTAAATTAATTTTTTTATACATTTGTTTCAAATAAATTTATATAATATTCATTTTAATTTTCATATCTAAATCGAAATAACCATCGTCTTATTTTTTTTTTTTAAATGTCAAAAAAACGTGTTTGGATAAATGAAGGAAAAAAAAGATGTTTTCGTGAATATTGACTTTTGTAAATGGGTAGATATAACATACATTATGTGCTTTTATTAAACTGAATAAGACGTGTAACGAAGTCATTAGGCAATGCTAAACTCGGGATTATATTAATTACAAACAAATAAGAAAAAAAAAAGGAGATTAAGTTGCTTCATTTGTCACGCAAAACATGCGCCCAAGGGGACAATTATAAAATAACATTTCGTAGAACGATCATTGATTGGACAATTACAGATCGAACGACCAATGCCAATGGTTCCAATTCAAAATCTCAATCCTCAAATCGACGAATTCTCGTCTCGTCTTCTCTCCACCACATCGTGCTCCGATCACTCCTCCTCCTCTGCTGCTGCCGCTCCGCCGAGGCAATCTCCGCCGTCGTCTTCTTCCTCAGAGATGTGGAACTACATCTGGATTCCGTTCCTGATCTCGCTTTGGAAGGATATCAGTGTGGCGAAGGCCACCGAGACGCCGGCGGCCATTCTCCTCCCGAGTCAACTCGGCGGAGAGGACGATTCACGCGCCGTTGACCTCCGGAGTCATGTGTGCCCGTCGCTGAACCCAAACCTGAACTACCAGCCGGTGATCGGAATCCTGAGTCATCCCGGCGATGGCGCGTCGGGACGACTAAACAATGCGACGAACGCGTCGTACATCGCGGCGTCGTACGTAAAGCTCGCTGAGGCCGGTGGAGCTCGTGTGATTCCACTCATCTACAACGAGCCTGAAGAAGTGCTCTTCCAGGTAGTTGTGATGTTCATATGTTTGTGTTTGGCTTAACAACAATTGAGCTACCTTTCAAAGTTGTTCACAGTCTTCATGCTGAATTACATTCTCAACTGCAGAAGCTAGAGCTCGTCAATGGCGTGATATTCACTGGAGGCTGGGCTAAACGTGGATTGTATTATGAAACCGTAAAGAAAATCTTCAATGTAAGTTATCGCATTATCTATTCAGAACATGTAATGTAATGTTGACTGTTGAGTTCTCTGCTGTAATATAATGGCCTATTCGGAATACACATGTTAACTCTCCATAATTCCATCTATGGTCTTATTGAAATCTTCATGTTTCTTGTAGAAAGCTTTGGAGAGAAATGATGCTGGAGAGCATTTTCCGGTATATGCTATTTGTCTTGGGTTCGAGCTGTTGTCGATGATCATAAGCCAGGTGAATCTTTGTTCTTAGCTTTTGCCACTCAAGTCATACACCTCAATCAATGTGTCTTAGCTTGATTTAAAACGCCGGAATCTACAATCTTTTAAAAACTTCTTCGAAAATTCTACTCGCCCCGTTGAAGCATGGAAATTTAGGTTGCATCTTTTGTGAATCACAAGCAGATAATATATAGTACATATATACAATGCCACAGTTTGGGATTGACATGTTCCTTTCTAATCCATGTGTTGGTAACAGGATAGAAACATTCTTGAAGAATTTGCCGCGGAAGATGCTGCATCGACTCTCCAGTTTGTCGAGAACATTAATATTGAAGGAACTGTTTTCCAGAGGTGCATAACTCTCATCATCATTTCTTTTCTTATTTTCCAACTTTTACTCTTTTTGTAGCATTATATATATGAAGTTATGAACCAGATTTGAGATTTCATGCTATGCAAGTATTCTGTATTGTATTCTGTGTGACTGATTGGTGTCTTCTGTTGCAGATTTCCTCCACAATTGCTGAGAAAGCTCAGTACCGACTGCTTGGTTATGCAGAACCATCGGGTAAGTATTATGTTCTTCAAATGCGTCGCAAATGAAGAGTGTTGTCACTTTTTTGGCATTTACCGTTCCATACGTCCTATATGGAAAACAACTTGACATGAAGTAAGTTTTAATGTTTGAAACAATAATATGAACTTTTTTGGGTCACTAATTGCTTGTCCGGAATCATTTTATTGCACTACTCATGCTTCTTAGGCTGTATGGTCTTGGCTGTTTTCAGTGCCATGTCTAATTCTGTATGTTCATAATATCTCCTTCTTGTTTGCGGCTGATTTGAATTGTTAACTGCTTTCCAGTATGGTATCTCACCAGAAAGACTCCTTGGAAATCCTGCTTTGTCAAGTTTCTTTAATATCCTCACAACCTGCATTGACGAGCACGACAAGGTAGTAAGCTGATTCCTTAAACCATACTGATTCATGAGTTCTGGAGATTGACCTTAGACCCAAACGGCTGAATCTCTCTATTTATCTACTAGACTTATGTCTCGACAGTTCAATCGAAAAGATATCCGGTGACCGGCTTCCAGTGGCATCCCGAGGTACATTCACCACACCAGTTTGCTTCCTTCACGTCTCTCATTTGGCCCTCTCTCTTGCCTTGTCCCATTATCAGTTCCTTACTCTTATAGGCTACAATATCGGTCCACCATCTAGTTTGATTTTCTTACCAAACGGGCTTCTCACAAATCTCTGCAGAAAAATGCATTTGAATGGGGATCATCCAAAATCCCACACTCCGAGGATGCAATCCAGGTCACTCAACATGCTGCAAATTATTTGGTCAGGTTAGATTTCTTTTCAATGTGGGGAAAGTTCGAAACTTTACCTTCCACAAGCTTTACCAATAAAATCTGAAATGGGAATTACATTCTCGGGCAATTGGCTACACAACTACACCTTATGTATCAAACAGCGTCTGTAAATACGTAAATACACGAACGTTTGCGCTCTATGTATGTATATGCGCGTAGGCGTAGAAAATGCATATACACTGGTCTCTTACAAGTTACAAGGTTACTTTGTATATACGGTGCAGTGAAGCTAGGAAGTCACTGAACAGACCACCATCTCAGAAAGTGCTAGAGAACCTAATCTACAACTACAGCCCTACATACTGCGGATATGCAGGGTAAATCCTGATAAAATTTCACTCGTTTTCGCCGAGAATTCGAGTTTATAACGATCCTGAGATCATATATTGCAGGAGGGGTTTCGACGAAGTATACATTTTCACTCAGCAGAGATCCCATATATAAGAATTGGTAAGCGCTTCGGTGTTCATATTCGTATTCCCGGTGAGAGTAATGCTTCTTTTGTTGTGCATATGTGTAAATGAAGATTTCTCTGTAACTGGGACCTGCTATATGTATGTATGTATGTATGTATGTATGTATGTATGTATGTATGTATGTATGTATGTATGTATGTATGTATGTATGTATGTATGTATGTATGTATGTATGTATGTATGTATGTATGTATGTATGTATGTATGTATGTATGTATGTATGTATGTATGTATGTATGTATGTATGTATGTATGTATGTATGTATGTATGTATGTATGTATGTATGTATGTATGTATGTATGTATGTATGTATGTATGTATGTATGTATGTATGTATGTATGTATGTATGTATGTATGTATGTATGTATGTATGTATGTATGTATGTATGTATGTATGTATGTATGTATGTATGTATGTATGTATGTATGTATGTATGTATGTATGTATGTATGTATGTATGTATGTATGTATGTATGTATGTATGTATGTATGTATGTATGTATGTATGTATGTATGTATGTATGTATGTATGTATGTATGTATGTATGTATGTATGTATGTATGTATGTATGTATGTATGTATGTATGTATTTTACCTTCTGTTATGTCTTAATATTACCATCCATATGTATATATAATATGTCATATTCTCATTTATGTCAGAAAGAAATCATTCTCACTGAAAACCGGGTTATACCCGGAATCCGTATTTATGTAAAGATCAAATTGTAACTCTTGCCATAAGTTTGCATATAATTCGTAATCTAAGATGATACAATTCGGGTATCCGGTATTTTTAGGGTATTTGAACTCGATGATAACATAATTTAAAACCCGAATTTGAACCCGAGTTTTCGAATATCCGAAATATATTATCCGTCAGATAATTTTCAGGTATTCGCGGATATCTGAACCGATAAAATTTAATCATAAATTTTTTTAAAAATTATAAATTTATATTTATATACAAATAATTTATAAAATTAGTGCAAAATATTAAAAATATTTAAATTTAACTGATTATATAATAAAATAATAGTTTTTTTATATATATACAAAGGTAAAAATACAAGATAATTACATTTTTTCTAAATTGTGATGGTATGGATGACGCGGAGCTTGACGCGATCCATTTTGTGATGTCAAAGTCAAACATCGATAACGTTTTCCATCCAATACTTAATGTGGTTCCATTGCAATTTTAGCAAAATTTCATAATCCATTAAATTTTATATTTATTATTGAAAACTTGAAAGTTGAGTTTCTATACTTCAATTTTGTATAAAATTTCGACTCCGTTTAGTTTATTTTATATACTATTTTAGGTTGTTGTATTACGGATTATGTTATGTCCTATTAGAATGAAAACAAAAATAAAATTCGATTATAAGTTAAATCCTAATATGGTATCACAATTATATAATTTTAACCAAAAAATGTGTGTGTATATATAAAGATACGATCCCGAAAATAACGGAGGTTACCGAACTTCCACCCTAAAGTTTTTTAAAGGAAAAGCTTACTATATAATATAAATATACGATGATATATAACTATCAAGAATCTGTAGTCGAATGATACGCCATGGAATTTTGAGATTCTACAATGGCGCATAAAGTCACGTTGACATGCGGCACCATTACGATATATTATATAACATCTAGAAGAATATAACTCTCACAATATATTCAAATGCAATTTTATTATGCAAACGTACCGAAAATATTTCTCTCTCTCTCTTTTGTTACGTATTTTCAGCATTCCCACAACATCAATCAAATAAATTTTATCAAATTAATTGGAAATAATATGAATTTGAAATAAGTGATTGTCAATACCATTTTGTTTTTTGGTAATCGGGTATCCTGAACCGAAGTCCAGACTAATAACAGGATCGGAGGAAAGCCACGTGAATACTTTACTTCCTTCCCAGTCTGGAGTTCGAATTCGGGGCAGATACTTTGCATTTCATTTCACCGGTTGAACTATCCAGGTTGGATTGCTAATACCAATCTTTGTTGGATTTATTCTTATTTCTAGAATTAAAATTATGAAAAAAAATCAAAAGAGGGATAGTTCATTGAATGTGTATGTGTTAACATTTTGGCAAAGGAGGTGTACGATGACATTGACAAAGACAAACTCGAAATATGTGTGTGTGTGTGTGTGTTTGTCCATTTCACTTCCTATTTCTTATGTCTTAAAACGACTGAACTCTTCCCACTAAAGTATCTTAAAAAAAAATTAAAACAGTTTTGGAAATTTACAAACGAATAAAATAAATAAATAGAATGAAATGTCAACGATACCTATCACTATTCTATGAAACGAATTTGAGAATCCGACGTAGAAAAATAGATATATTTATTTTCAAATATTATATATATATATATATATGCGAATGTTCCAAACCCCGAAATATTAACCTTTAATCAATTAGAGTAATATTAAATCGATATATATATATATGTGTGTGTGTGTGTGTGTGAATGTTTACCATGTAATCATCAAATAATATTTATCTATAAAGGGTATGTGTATATATATATATATAGCTGGAAATAATGTTTTCCTTTTTTTAGAACTGTTAAGTTCATTCAAGCATATTTTTTTTCCTCTTATAATAAAAAAATTCGCAAATAGAAAAAAGAAAAAAAATGGACCGTGAAAAGGGTATTGAGAGTCAAAATCAACTTCTTTTTTCTATAGTGCCAAAGTGAATCATCTGACGATTGTAACTCTTTCCAACTTTCTTTGTAAAGAGATTCACGCAATCTGTAACCAAAAAATTATATAATTATTATTATGTTTGTAATTGGAATAATTGGATATTTGATGTTACACTCAAAGTCAAACGGCGCTTCATCTTTTCTTGTTTGGCATAATCATTTTTTATGTTTTATATTGGAAAAATATATATATCATCCATTTAAAATCTTAATGTGGCAACTTTTGGATTAATCTATTTATGTTGTCGTTTGGTCCTATTCATACTTAGTTTTCATTTTTTAAAAAACTTATTAAAAAATTAGCTTTTTCAACTTTTTTCAATTTTTATAATTAATATTCTGCTCTAGTTTAATTTAAATTCGATTATTTGATTCAAAAAAAAATTATATCCAATTAAATTTTTTTAAAGGAATTCAATCATATTTATTAGATTCGAAATTTCATATTTAAACCGAAATAGCTATACATGTATATGTACCCATTATCTCCCCTTGTTATTTACTCCAAACTTTTTTTCTCTAATCTTTGACACCTAATACCACTTTCCCAATATATATATATATATATATATAGATTTCGTGTGAAATATACGGTTAGCTAGATAGTTTCCTTGAAAGAAATTCAACATAAATAATTATGACAGTCTTTATTAGATATATGTTTTCTATATTAAAGGTATAATATTATGGTTCACTTATGAACTTTACGCATCTACTAAATGAATTTGATATGTCTATTCCATTTAAAAGTACCTACATGGAATATTATATTTAGTTGAAATTATAATGTTATTATTCCCTATAATATTTTAAAAAATTATTTGAGATTATGGAAAATTATAAAAATGTTTTATCTTTACTATTTTTGTTTCAACTCATAATCCTCTCAACCCACTACCCTTATTAACCGGATTTTAATGTTCAAAATCTCTTTACACTAGTTCTATAAAACTATTTAACGGTATGTTATATATGTACCAAAACAAAGAAAAAAGCCACGTGGGAACATGGGAAAAAAATCAAAATGTTAAAAAGTATATAATGATGAGTTTAATTATATTGTAACATTATATGAGAGTCACGGACTCCAAAATACAGCAAATGATTTCACAAAATACAAATACATGATCAAAAGACATGAATATCAGCTTAGGCGTTACAGCATCCATATCAATAACCCTTGCCATAAGACATTACAATATATCAATCAAGAACCAAATCAATTCCATACATATATATATATATATATATATATATATAATGAAATGTTTCATTAGGACAGTATATATATAGAGATTAATTTTTCCACGTATTGAATCTTGTCGAATGGAGAAACCGTATACGATCCAATCAATGGCCGATAGCAGGGCTTGGAACAGATTGCATGAGACGATGTTTCATGTCGGAATCCTCGGGAGGAGCGGTATGACCCTTGTCGCTCGGGGCAGAAGGAGGAACATTGCCCTTTGGTAGGGCATTGAAAGTAAAACCCTTTCTTGCGCCGCAAGGTACCATCGCAACCCTTCTTCCTTCCGAAGACGTTGCAATAAACCCTAGAACGAGAACGAACGTCATCATGAAAACGTAGATCGTTGGACGTGCCATTCCGGTTTTAGGGTTTAGGGTTCCGGAGGATTATATATATATTTGCTTTTGGAGTGTTTTAGGGTTTTGCTGTGAGGGATCTTCATGCTATTGTGTGCCCATATATATATATACACAACATACGATGAGAGACGAGGAACAGTTTGGTGGAATTTGAGTTAGGTAAAAATGAACTAAGGCTGCTCGAAAAAGATTCATATATGTAAAATATCATTATTTTTTTTTTGTAGAAAATCCTTTATACAAAAAAGAAATAAATATAAGTATGGATGGTCAAGGTTGCCTTCAATTTAGGAAATATAATTTAATTAGTATAACATATATATATATATAATCAATTTAACATCATTTATTTTTATTTTATTATATATATATATACATATATACACACTATTTCTGCCTCCTCGATCCAACGGTGAGAGAGGAAGCATAAATCATCGTCACCGCCACCCGGGTGGGTTTTAATTCATAATTATTTGTTTATTTTATAGTTCTGATTTTAATTTTGTAGCAACTAGAAAAATGATATCTATTCAAGTTTTTTAATATTAGGTTAGACTCGGTGAGGTTTTTGTTTTAAATTTAGTTCATATTCGATTTTTATCCATAAAAATCTTTATCTTCTAAAGAAATAATTAAGTTTTGTTCGTTTTTTTTTATGTTCCATTCATATTCAAATTTCTCAATCTTAAATTTGATATAAATATGATTATAGATTATTAGATTATAGTATGATCTGTTTTTCTTAAAGGATTTCATATAAATCCGCTAATTTAAACTAATAACATATTTTGCCTTTAATTTATTTTCGATTCAATTATTTTTGGATTTGGATTTTTATAAATTATAAAAATACCAAGTTTTATGTTAGACTGGACGATATTCTATTTTTATTGAAATGAATAATCATTATTTAAAGAGATTTTAATTTTTTAAACTTTTTTGGTATTTTAATATTCAGCTCATATTTAATATTTTCGATTTCAATTTTGATCCAAATGTGGTTATATACTATATTCGACTCGGATCGGTTAAATTTTATTTAATAAAATGCATATAAAAACCCTAGTTTGAACGATGAACAGAGATATATTATAATCTCCCTGTGAAATTCCATGTTCGATAAGTATTTACATTTACCCCTCTACCTATTATTTCGTTCGAAATTATAATTTATTTTGGGAATTATTATTTGTTGATGCCAGGGGATAGGACGTTGGGACAAGTGCCACCTGTATCCATTTTGGATTTCTTAACTGTGGAAATAATCGGTTGTATGTGAGCGCATGGAGAAATGGGTGGACTTGTGGTGGACCCCACTTCTCACCCTGACCATCACAGACGGTCACTGCTCCGTCTCTTTAACTTCGTCGCGCCTGTTCAAATCCCGTTTCACACGCTCCAGCCTTTTTTACACTGCCCCTTTCTCCCTCTCCCTCTACGGCAAGCGACCACCGGAGGCGGCGGCAGAGATGGCGGGATACAGAGTGGATGATGACTACGATTACCTCTTCAAGGTTGTTCTGATTGGAGATTCCGGCGTCGGTAAATCGAATCTGCTGTCTCGGTTCACTAAGAACGAGTTCAACCTCGAGTCGAAGTCCACCATTGGGGTCGAGTTCGCAACTCGTACCTTGAATGTCGATGGAAAGGTTATCAAAGCTCAGATTTGGGACACTGCCGGTCAGGAGAGGTTCGTTTTGGTCTTCCCCCGTCTCTCCGTTTTTGTTCTTCGGTTTCGATTTGTCGATTTGTGCCTCTGCATCGTTTCTTGTGATAGATCTCTTTCGGAGAACAGTTTTAACTTCGATTTATGTTGCACCTCTGTTTTGCTTGGTAACATGTGGTCTGAAATGCATTTGAGATTTGACGCCATTGTCGAGGATATTGCTTTGTAAGTTTTTATAGTCTGAAAATTGCGTCAGGAAGTTCATTGAGCTAGTTTCTGGTAGATCTATCTTTTCCGAATCCGGATCTTACAAAACCGGCTCTTGATCTGTTGGTTCTGACTGAGATTTGACTTCATGGGAGTACCTAGGAAGCGAGTTCAGTACTTAGCTGAAAATTAATTACCCTCGCGAGAGTTTCTATATATTGGGTGCATATTCGTTTCCTCCATAATCAGGAATCTTACTGTAATTCCATCAGAAAATATAGGCCTAATTTGTTATATTAGTCCATAATATCCGCTATCAAGATGGAGCAACATATTTTGTTCTCCAAGAATTGACTAGGCAATGATTGGTTCATTCTGCATCTTCGGATCCGTACTTGCCTTCAGAATGTTGTTTTCAGGGGGGGGGGCTATGTTTATGAGCAATTTTATAGGTAATCTCTATTAACTTGATCGCCAATAATTCCTTCTCTTTTATTCAGGTTCCTAACATAGCTTTTGAGTTTGAGTAGTTGTGATCCTGGTTAAGGATTAAATAATCGGGATGGATAGCGTCGATTAGAAAACACTCATTCCTTCTTCTCTAATCTGTTGGTTGGAGCTGTCACAGTGACTTTGTAATCCAGAGTTAGCTTGTCTTGAATGTATGCTATAGCTGGCTGTACAGAATATGAACACATGATTCTGATTGATGGCTTAAAAGAAGTATGAGCACCCACACTCACAAGGGTAATATTCGTTGAAACTGGACCGAAATCAATTGCACTTTGCACAATTGCCTCACCCATGTATTTATTCAAGCGTTGGATATTTAATCAGTCTGCACATCCTTGATGAAACCCACATTTCCGGGTCAAGGCTGCAGTTATTATGGTGTGGTCCTGGATTCGGATCCAGGGTAGGTCCTGAGATATGAGGAGATTGTTGCTGTATGATAGTGTGGAACCCAGACCCATTTGCATGGCTAGCTAATGAACTTCTAGTGTCTATGATGAGTGGTTCTATTCGCAAAACGCTTGCACTATTACGTCCACGATCTAAAACTTAGCTTCCATTATCTTCGCAGGTACCGAGCTATTACTAGCGCATACTACCGTGGAGCAGTGGGTGCCCTCCTTGTATATGATGTAACCCGACGTGCAACATTCGAGAATGTAGACCGATGGCTAAAAGAACTCAAAAACCACACAGACCCGAGCATAGTGGTGATGCTAGTGGGTAACAAATCCGATCTCCGCCACCTTCTAGCAGTCCCAACAGAAGACGGGAAATCCTACGCGGAGAAAGAATCTCTCTACTTCATGGAAACTTCTGCCCTCGAGGCCGTCAACGTAGAAAACGCCTTTGCGGAGGTTTTGACGCAGATTTACCACATCACGAGTAAGAAGCAAGTAGAAGCCGGTGAAGATGGAAATGCTTCGGTCCCCAAAGGAGAGAAAATAGACGTAAAAAACGACGTGTCGGCGTTGAAGAAACTCGGCTGCTGCTCAAATTGAGGCTTCTGGTAAGGAGAAACATAACATTTGAGGATTTAGGGTTCGTTTCTGTCATTGTTGTTTCTGTAATATTATCGTCACTCTGCGCGAAAACATGCACTTCTATCATAGATGGAGGGATTCAGACGGCCTCCGGACAATATCTTTGTTAAGGTTTCTGCCCGTTTTGGGTAACCATACCGACTTCGCAGCCCTCGGTTCGGGATCAAGTATCCGAGTGTCAATGTCTCGTATTTGATAATATTTAAAATATTGGGATACCTCGAAATATTTAACAAAATCAAAATGAGTAAAAATAAAGAATTCTTTTTTTTTTGGGTAACCGGGTATCTTGGGTCGAGGTCCAGACTAATCTGGGGTCGGAGGGAAGCCATGTGAATACCTCCTCTCTAGCCTGGGGTTGGAATTTGGTGCGGGACAGACGTTTTGCATTCCCGTTTCACCGGTTGAGCTACCCAAATTGGGTTAAATAAAGAATTCTTTTGATTCTAAATAAATTTAGGATTAAAATGTTGTTGATGCTGATCTTCATCTACTCTTCACTTGCAAATATATCAAAAATCGGTTACTTCTGTAGATTTAATTTTGCGACGTCTCTTTTCAAACCGAAATTGTGGAAATTTAACCGATCTTAACCGAATATGAATGGGGTCGTTTTGGGTTGGGTCGGATTGCATTTTGGACAAAGAAGAATTGTAAACGTGGCCATCCGTCTACTGTACTCTGTCGCCGAGCGGATGTAAGCTTGCTTATACATTTACATGTCCATATTGCCTCTGCATATATATAAATATATATATGTCTGTTCATCATATGGATGCACACACATAAGCCCGAACAGTGTAAGACTTTGGATATATAGAAACCGTTCTTTTTGGTCCTTACATTTTCACAAGTCTCCACAAAGAAGAAACCAAGAAAAGGAATTGTTTTTCCCCGCCAGGCCCCTACCTTGTTGTTTCCTTATATGTGTCGCCCGATACACATAACTGTTCTTAATACTTGTGGCTAAAAGATTTCTGCATTTTTCAGATTTTTTTTTGGTACTCTGAAACTGAATTTTTAAATATAACATAATAATCTTAATTAAAAACCTTGCAAAACATTCGGAATAATTTTTTTTCTTCTTATAACCGGGTGTATTGGATCGAGACCCAAACTAATCCCGAAATCGAGAGCAAGACATGCGATTAGAATATATACGTTTCACTCCCCAATTTAATTCCCGGATCCGGAACAAATAAATATTTTGGATCTGTATTTCATCGGTTGATCTATCCAAATTGGTTTATTCAGAGAAAGTTTGTTATACAGTTTTCTCCTCGAAGATTCTGATGCATATAGAGATTTAGGGCCGAGGAAAACCACTTGGGTATGCCATGGCATACAATAAATTTGGGATCTTTATGGACTTGGGGATCCATTTGTACAAACCGGAATCACTATTTCGGGTTCGGTTTATTTAAATTGAATTTGGATTCTATTTTTATTATTAAACGTTCATTCCCCCCCCCCCCCCC